AAAGAAGATATTTTTTTATTCATTATTTATTATTTATTACTTTTTTATTTACTATTGATTATTATTATTATTATTATTATTATATTCACTTCTGTTTATGTGTGCATTCGAAGTTTGTTAATTTGTTTATTATTTACTAAGTTTGTTTACTTATTTGTATAGATTTTTTGTTTATTTTATTTTATTTTACGCAGTTTCTCGTATTCGTTTTTATTTTTCGATTTTTAACTAACGTAGTAAACATTTGTTTTCGTGCCTGCATATTGAAATGACTTCTGTTAATTTATTTATTGTGTTGTTCTGGCAAGATAATGATAGCTAAACTTACATACACTCTATCCCTAAGATTGAGCGCGTTAACACATAAGCATAGCATATCTTCAAAGTACATTGTAGAAGCAGCATGAAAACTGGCACAAACAACATTCAAACATCGGCCACGTGACCATAATATTACCACGCATGAGCAGAAGGCAGTGGGACAAATCTAAAGTTATGTTATGACAAAAGTGAGGATAACTTTTGACTTGACCTCGTATAAACCTGCCTCATCATCATCTTCTTAACCAGATGTAGCCATAGGGTCGCTGCGCAGCTGAGCATCTGATCATTCTCCTCCACCAATCAGGGTTGAAAACTGGATAGGCATTCATTCATGCATAGCAGGTCTTGACAAAGTAGACCTGACAGGGCCAATGTCCTCCAAACTACAATGTCCTCCAACTTGAAGGCTCGCCTTGGTCATGGGCCCGTGACCGTTGATTTCATCGAGCGAATCCCTCTAGCCAGGCTATTAACGTCTCAGATCAAAATGCTATAAAATACATCTAGCTACCCACATTTACAAGAACGCTTAAGAAAAAGTCTGGTCGAAAACATTGGAAATATTTCGCTATAAGAGCGGTCTTGTATATTAAACATATCTCTCATACCTTTATCTCTCTTAGGATCATTTTCCAACTGATTCAAGATGATCTTCGCCCTCTCTAACCTTCTTACTTTCTGTCCTGGAGAAACAAGGTGCCCAACACGTTCCACGCACGATTTCATTTTCAAGTCATTTCTCACTGCTCTTTGGAATGTCATAACTGAAACTCCTCTCTCACGTACCAAACGTCTTATGAATTGAGTTGGATCTTTTCTAATTGATCACTTTTGCTCCAAGTTGAAATAATGATCCCTCTTCGTGTTGTGACCTCCTGATCTCTAATGTTTCCTCTTTTTTATACTTACCGTTCTCCTGATAGTTCTTGAATGAACTTTGAAGAGGGAAGCCAGCATATGAATGTTGGTACCATTACTGAAGGCCTGAGTGTCTTTTTCCTTCTCACAATTGCTGAGTTGAGAAGACAGTGAGGCTGACACAAAACTGATTTTAACCTGTTCTCTTTCTAGCTGAATAACTCAAAGGGTTTTTCAGTGATTCTTACGACGCATGGTGTCAAGATGGCTAAACGTCTCATCTGAAAACCTGGAAAAAAGAAACTCAATTAGTTTAATGATTTTATTAGATATTAAGCATTTTGTGGGATGGACAATCATAGTGTTACACGTTTTGGATAATTTTGCTGTTACACTCGGGATTATTAATTCTACTAATGAATTTCTTCCAATATTGCAATCAAATAAAACTTAATATTGGCATTCTTGCTTCGTTTGATGAAGACGGTCTCTTTCTTCATATCGCTGTTCAAGAAACTGCAAATATAATGACACATATTTATATTAACATTGTACGCTCTATCTACAAATATTAAACCAATAATTCTCCGTAAACTTGATGAGATAACAGAAGTCGTCTGTATTTATTCAATCGAAGTTAGCCGGGGACATGACGCGACAAAACAGGCAGCATGAAGACTCACTTCAGACCACAATTACTTTGGAGTTTTTGAAATTCAGTTTGTCAGTGTGCTACCAGGGATTTAAAAGAGGATACATTTATAAATCAGTTGTTAAGTTTGATGAAAATTGGTTGAAAGATCAACGAAAAATAAGAAAGAAACCAGTAAAAAATCGGGTTTTCACTATACGGGTGGACTCAGTTAGCAAGTTAAATGACTGTTACACAATCAACTTATTCTTGGCTACAACCGATTGGAGTTTGTATGAAATTGCTTGAAAATTGAGCGAACTTTTAGCTTAAAATTTGTGTTGAAATCGATTTTTCGTTTTTATCGTTTTTTCGCTAAACGCAGTAGCGTAGAAATAAAAATGAGGTATCGTTGAGCTCGTCCTGATGTAAGTAACCTACATACCGAATATGAACAAAATTGAAGGAAAAAAGTTGTATTTATCGATTTTTGATTGGTTTTATCGATTATTGATTTTTTTTTTAATTATCGATATTTTACGCTAAGAACTTGTCTCTTACATTGTCATGCGCGAAGTTTGGTCAAAATCGAAAAAATATAATGCAAATCGAAATATGTTAACTCCTATACAAAAAAATTGCCATATTAGTCAAAAACGCTCTCACTTACATTTTCAAAAATTCAACCATAGCATGCTTCACAAGTTTGTATCCGTTATCAATAGAACATTTCAAAAAAAGCATATTTCGATTCGCATTATATATTTTCGTCTCGAATGCTACCTGAATTTTACCAAAAATAGGTTCCATGCCTGATGATGACCGGAGAATGTGTCAAAAGTATTTACATATTTAAGAAAGACATAATACAGTTTATAATTTTAATAAACAAAGATCATAACATTCATCGAGTGATTTGTAGGTTAATGCATCTTTAAAATTTAGTTAGCGAAGGGATTTCGCCATTTTTTATCATTAACTTTACTAATTTACTTTTGTATTAATGATTCAATAATATATATATATATATATATATATATATATATATATATATATATATATATATATTGTGTATTTAGGCAGTAATCCTTCTTTCATGCAAGATTCATTAAATATGACAGACAAGGTGCTTTAATTAAGGTTTTATATAATTTCTTATGTGATCTTATATATTTTTCTTTTCAGTAGATATATTACGGAAATATTTTCCGAGGTCTTTCGGCTATACAGTTAACCATTTTCAAGATTGAAATACATTAACTGTTAACTAGAAATAGATTGATGTATGTATAATGTTTCATTTTCAAAACACGCTCAACATATTATGTCCATAGTTGATTGCGTCCAGCATGAAACAGGCTGTCTCCTCCGAGTGTTGACTTCAATGTTCACTTTTATATTTATATTTACATACGCTCTATCTCTGATATTGAGCACTTTATCCAATAAATATAGCACACCTTAAAACTATATTTCTTCATATATATATATATATATATGTTAGTTCAAAAAACAGGTTTGCAATGGCTGGCCACTACTATTAGTTTCATGTGTTTGCACACAATCTTGTTTTTGCAAACAACATGTGTTTGCACACAATCATCGTGTAGCCACTTGCCTGATGGCTATGTGCAAATCACATGACTTTAATAGTAGTAGCCTGTCATTGCTGACTTGGTTTTTGAATTAATATTCAAAAGCTCTATCATTTCTTGTGGCTTGGAGCACTTTTATGCCAGAACGCTGTTTTCAGGCAGACTCTATTCAGAACTGCTCGTTTAAACCCTGGATATATATATATATATATATATATATATATATATATATATATAGATAGATAGATAGATATGTGTGTGTGTGAAAAGTGTGTGTATATACATAATATATATATATATGTGTGTGTGTAATATATTATATATATTATTATTTATTTTGAGTTATATAAAGTAATATGGCGGCCTGACGATTGCGTCTAGCATGAAACAGCCTGTCGCCTCTGAGTATTGACTTCAATGTTCACTTTTTATATTTATATTTACATACGCTCTATCGCTGATATTGAACACTTTATCCAATAAATACAGCACCCCTTAAAACTATATTTCTTCATACACACACACATACACACACACACACACATATATATATATATATATATATATATATATATATATATATATATATATATATATATATATATATATATATATATATATATATATTGCTTTTTTACGTTTGGATACGAAACAAAGTTGATATGAAATTTCGAGAATCTATGACGAGAAGGATTTCACTTAAAGACACTGTTCACCCGACTGTGCTAGGCAAAGGTCTTCATGGAGTCGTCAGTGCAATCTTGTGTGTTTCTTATGCCGAGGGGACGCAGGTTCGGATCCTGGTGGAAGCGGGCATTTCTCTTTAAGTGAAAAAAATATGTATCTTATGTGGATTTTTAATTAGACATTGTTTCTTATTACTATAAATGTTATTTTTTAGTTGTTACACATTATGTTTGAGCTGCTAAACGTGTTTTACTGGCTAAACGTGTTTGAGCTGCTAAACGTGTTTTACTGGCTAAACGTGTTTGAGCTGCTAAACGTGTTTTACTGGCTAAACGTGTTTGAGCTGCTAAACGTGTTTTACTGGCTAAACGTGTTTGAGCTGCTAAACGTGTTTTACTGGCTAAACGTGTTTGAGCTGCTAAACGTGTTTTATCAATAAACGTGTTTACTGGCTGGCTAAACGTGTTTGAGCTGCTAAACGTGTTTTTTATATTGCGTTTCTTAAACAGCGAATTAATAACTTTCGATCTCCGCCAGCCGTTGTTTATTTCAATGTTTAAAAGTAAACAAAAAGGCTTGGCATTCAATCATATATATATATATATATATATATATATATATATATATATATATATATATATATATATATAGGAAAAAATCCATAATTTTCGCATATGAGTATAGGCTATTTCAAACCGGTGCCACTTTGCGCTAGTCTTCTCAGCCTGCACAGAAATCATCTTTGTGGACCAGTTTTAATATTTGATATTACTAGAACTGCCTGGTTCATATACCAATAGATCTATTACATTTACTATACACACACACACACACACACATGCATATATATATATATATATATATATATATATATATATATATATATATATATATATATTTGCCACTGAGAGTCGAGATAGAGAGAGAGAGAGAGAGAGAGAGAAAAAGAAAAGAAATGGGGAGAGGCAAGAGAATGATGAAAAGGAGAATGTTAAAAATCGCTTGACATCGCCCGAAGAGACACATTTGTGTTGTTGAAATATGATTGTAATTGTGTAGCGATTTTTAACATGTTTTTGTTTTAATATCCTAAAATAAATAATATTTAACTCTACTCTGCATTGAGCTCACTTTTTTATACGTTTATTTTTCGTAGAGTGGAATTATGCTTAATTGTCTTTTTTTATATTTTTATATATATATATATATATATATATATATATATATATATATATATATATATATATATATATATATATATATAAATTTCCAAGAGGATAGAATCCAGGTAGACCGCAATGTCCAGGACAGAGCAAGAATATAATATAAAAGGCTCAAACACTAATATCCTATGGTTATAATTTATTACATTGGAATCGTAATCACGATCAAATTCATCAGACCTACAAACCAAAAAAGAAACTAAAAATCCAAAGAAATATATATATACATACATACATATATATATATATATATATATATATATATATATATATATATATATATATATATATATGAAGAAATATTAAGGTGCTATATTTATGGGATAATGTGCTCAATATAAGAGACAAAGCGTATGTAAATATAAATATAAAAGCGAACATTGAAAACACTCAGAGGTGACAGGCTGTTTCAGGCTGAACGCAATCGTCAGGCATGAAACAGCCTGTCGCCTCTGAGTGTTGACTTCAATGTTCACTTTATATATATATATATATATATATATATATATATATAATTGCATTTTATTTAGATATTTTCCTACCAGATTAATAATACAGAAATTTAAAAAATAATTTAATATTAATAGAATGCGAAATTTTAAACAAATTA